CCCCAAAACCCCAAAACCCCAAAACCCCAAAACCCCTATTCTTGATAATTCAGTTGAGAAGAATCTTAAGAAGATTTCAGCAGATTTTGAGAATTGAGTCATATTAGCGAATCTTTTTCCTCTTGAGAGATTTGTTGACTCGAATGTTCAGTCTTTGTTTTGAACTGTTCTCCCTTTTTGGATTCTTTTTTAGCTTTTTAGAGGGTTTTGATTTTGCGAGTCTCGTATCTTTGGGAATGTTGGAGGCATCAGGATCGTTCTCTTTGACATAGTTTATAGATCTTTTGGTGATTCGTTGGAAGGGTTGGATTTTCTCTTTCTTTTTGGATTTTGATCGAGAATGGGATCTTGAATGGCTTCTTGATGTTGATCCCTTTCTTTTTGCACTTCTGGTCGGAATTGATAAAAAGTTGGCTTGTAGAGATTGATTTTTCTTATCTTCAACCTCTTTTCTCCATCTTGTGACTTCCCTCTCATAATTTTCATAAACAAATTGAGCCTTCTTTCTCTCAAGTTCAGCCTCTTCTAGCTCTTTTTGTAATTTATTGACTTGCACATCTACTATATCTTGGAATTCCTGGAGTTCATTTTTAGCTTCTTGTAATTCTTTTCTTCTGTCTCCTTCCGATTTTTTAACATTATAAATGTCAACTTGAACATCTTCTATTTGGTATCGAAGATTCTTCTTCCTGCGTTCTCTCGCTTTTGCCAGTCTGATAAGATCATAGTCCATATCTTCAGAATTTTCTTTAAGATTTTTGAGCATGCTCTTGAGTTGATCAAGTTCGACTTCATCGTTATCCCTCATCTTTTCGATCCAATCTTGGTACTTAGTCATATCTGACTCTAGTTGGGTCTTCTTTACTTTCATAGTCGTCATGACTTTGCCTACGGATAATCGGATGGTACTTACCAAAATTGAAGTTCTTATCTCCTGCCTTCATCTGTTCCTCCTCTTTTAAGAGTAATTCAGACATTTCTTCTCTGATTTTTGGCAAACGGTTTTGAACAGCCATTGAATTATCATTGTTACACCATTTTGCCATGCAATTGTTATTCTTTAGGTTTAGCTTTAGTAAATGATTGTTGGTCTCCATAGCACTGGTTAGATTTGCAGCTGCTTCATCACTGATGAAATTTGATGAGAGGTCAATCACCATCAAACCTGTATTTGTGTCATGCTTGAGTATTTCAGCTATATGATCTGCACCTTCATCATCAATTTTATTTCTAGTAAGATTTAAATTATGAAGAGTATTATTCCCGATTCTAGATTCAGTGCTCTCTTTAGCATGAAGTCCCTCACACATGATGTAAATATGCTTAGAATCAAGTCCTCATTCTCCTAAGTTTAGGTGTGTAAGTCACTGGTTGTTATTTAAGAAATTCTCCAGCTCTAAAAGCTCTCCATTTCCAATAAATTGGTTGTTCCTCAAGTTGAGATGAGTTAAAAACCTATTTTGCTTCAGCGATCTGAATAATATTCAAGCACCTTTACTTGTGATATTATTTCAGGACAAATCAATTTTCTTCATCTTTCATATTTCCTTGTAAAAGTATGAAGATATAGCCTCTGCAGTAGAATCGTCAAGTTTATTGTTAGAGAGCCTAAGCTCAGAAAGAGCCGGTGACTCAAAGAGGGGTCTCAGGTCTCTGATACAATCAAATCCAAGGTCGTTATTAGTCAAATTCAGGTACACTAGGTTCATATCCACCGGATCGAGATCTTTTAGAAAGATCTTTACTCCTTCTTTTCCAATATTGTTACCAGAGAGGTTCAACATTGAAATGATCTTGTTCTTTTTGAGCAAATGATTGAGTCCAATACATCCTTTAGCTCTAATTCTATTTCTATGAAGACCATCCGAGTTAGCAATGCTAATGGATGTCAAGGTTTTATGCTTTATCATACTTTTAAAGAACGAATTAGCTCCTTCGAATGTTATATCATTACTTCCAATGTCTAAATGAATCAGAGAGGAGTTCATCAAAAGAGATTTTGAAAGTTCTCTAAGTCCTTGGTTCCCAAGTACATTCTTTCTTAAATCTAAATGGGAGAATCTGTTGTATCGGAGAATATTTCCAAGGACCTTAGCACTATTTGGACCAAAGCCAATCTCTCTAAAAGTTATTTTTCTGTCTTTCATTGCTTTCTGACAATATTCTAGGAATCTTCTCAGTTGGCCATCCTTGGGATGAATTTTGAGGTCATTACACTTGGCATTAAAAAGATTAGTAAGGAGGGTAGTTGATATCCCATTGATGAACTTTGTTGAATTCATCTTAGTTATTCTTATCAAACTATTTTCTCTATTCCCACTACTATTTCTGTGACTATAAGCATAAACTGTATTATTTACTAGTTGGATCTATTGCTTGACCTCCTAAGGTTCATGGAATTGTTTAAATTAGATTCTCCTGCTGCCATATTTGAATCAATACTCTCATGAGACCGAAGCTTGTTATATTTTCTGGTTATTCTCTTGTTCCCAGTATTGGAATTATTATAAATATGAGTTTGCTGGATAATATGATCTACTTTAGATAAGTATGACTTATGCAATGGATTCTGACCCAATTTCCTTGAGTTTACAGAGTGACTTTTAACAACTGAAACTTTGTTATTCTTAGAAGAACCAGGTCTTGATCCAACAGAGCCACTGTCTGTTCTCTTGTAAGATCTATTACTCCAAGGTCTCCTTTGCCTGAACCTTCCTGATTTAGGTCTTTTTGATTGGGAAGTACCATTATTAGAAAGTATAGACTCATTACTCTTAATTGCTTTAATAGCACCAGTATTAGAAATCTCATAGACATCTTCAGAGTTTAATTGAACATATCTACTCGGTCTGACAAAAGAAGTTGAGTTATTTATTATCATCAGAAAAAGTCTGGGTTGTGTTAAAGCCATCGTTAAAATTTGCCTGGATCTTAGCAGAGATATCGTTTTCATTAAGCATTATATCAGGCTCTCTTCCAAGAAGCTTAGGAAGTCTTTTTTCTTCGTTCATATTTATGTGGTAAATTAATTTGAATTTAAATATAAACGATTCAAATTTATTTAATTTTTTAGGGGTTTTGGGGTTTTGGGGTTTTGGGGTTTTGGGG